TCCATTACAAAATTCCTGCTATGCAGATCTTCATGGGTTTATCTTAGCAAGGCACTACAACATTTATTTGCACCCCTTGGTTTGCTGTAGGCTTCACATGCACACCCAAAGTCAGCTGAACCTTCCATTATTCAGACTTGTGAATATGTCAAGCTACCCAAGGGAACATGGTTCCTTTCTCTACTCCAAGGACTGAAACATGCCTTTATTTTCCCTCTTTATATTCCCAGTAATTGATGCTGCAAGTATGGGCTGCAGGGCAGGTGAGTGCTGGTCCTCATTCCCTGCTTATCCAGGTATTAGGAGTGATGAAAGAAGCTGTGACTATTTGAAGTATGTACATAGTGATATTTAATAGTTTATAGAGACTGTAAAATATGATAGTTCTACCATGTCAACATCAGATACAATTATATAAGTAACTATAATAATCCTAGCAGCATACAATCATGGTAAATATTAATAGCATAATATTATGGTTATTGTGTTATGGTTAACCCAACCTGCCAAGGTCAGCAAGACCAGTCTGTTGATCTTTTGAATTCTAACCCCCAGAGTATGGGAGTACTAGGGGCACCCTTCCTGGCATGTCAATGGGAAAGCTGTCCATCTTGGCAGAAGTTTATTCTCAGACTCCAGGATCCTCTGTACCGATAATCTTCTGCTGGTCCCACCATGCAATATTTGAGTTGTCTTTGTATCACCCACAAAACTGTATTTCCTTAGTTTCCTCAGATAAATCACTTCTTGTTCCCAAGGAGTCTGTTCCAAATCTGATCCAAAGATACCCACTCACTTGCATCTTGATTACAGCTGTCTTGCTGGAGAGTCAATTCCACAACTGACCCAGAGATAAGCAGTTCCTTCTGCAAGTGTCATAGCTGTGATATTACTGTTTCATTCATTCTGTGGCCCAGATATTCGCTAGGTAGGCATGCTAATTTTTAGTAAGAAATTGTTAGCTTGTCATAGGAAATGGTAACTATACTTGTGGCAGGTTGGCATTTTAGCTGCAGGTCCACTTTGGCTCATTAGTCCCCCTATTCCTTGACGCACTTAGTGCGATTAGAGTTAGGTTGAATTTTCACCATGCTTCTAGTTCATGCACTTTGGCTTCCTGTGGAAAGCAGAAGGAATAGGGAAACAAAGACATGGGACATGGGGAGGAAGCTGATGGCAACATTGTCAGTCTGGTCTTTTCCTCACATGCAGTCAGTGAGTGTGGGGTAAACCAAGGACCATGCTATTTTTTTCCTACTCTTTCCCCCTGATGACTGAGGACTCCAGCCCTCCAGTATTTCATCAACATATGAATCAGTGAAAACAATCCTTATGTGATGGAATAGTAATAACTTGATGAGCGGCAAAGTGGTTCACAAACTTAAAAAGTTTCAGTATCTTGCTGGATTATGCCCATAATTCTACATTATTAACTGGCAAGAGTGGCAAGAGTGAAGTCCAATCAGATAATGATACCAATACAGCCTCTGATATTAAATTTTGTGCGGTTGGACCTTGAAAATAGATGAAGTTCTCATCCTTCAATTTTTTTTTGATAATGCAATATTTCCCATTCTCAGGAAAGCCAGAGCATCTAAAAGATTAATTATTCTTAGGGGGGTTTTGTAGTTATTTGTTGACTTTGCTTAAAAGATTTCATGGGACGACATTAAGACTTCTTTTTAAAAATTTATTCATATTAATAATCTTCTTTCTATAACTTGATTTCCTCTGAAACAGTTTCAAACCTTTAAAGTGTCATTTTATTCACCTATAAATCATCATAACATTATATTTTGATTCATGTAAACCATTACAAAATGCCACCAAGTTTAAATGATAACACTGAATTGTCAAAAATGATCCTTTCTAATAATAACTGGTTTTGATGCAATGTCGTCTTTCTCCAAGACAAGAATACTTTTGTCCGAAATAAATCTGTATTTGGCTGTTACATATGTCTAGGGGGAAATGGCTTATTTCTACATGTTATAGCATTACTACAGGTAGGAATGAAAGAAAATTAATTTCTGTATTTGACATTTGTGGCAGTAAGCTGAAACAATAGAATTTGGTTTTCCTTAATGCTTTTTCATAGTGAAAAAAATCCGTTTCCAGGTCATGTATTGCCCCATTCTCAAGCTGCCCCACAAAACTGGCCATAAGAGCTAAGGTCTGTCTAGCACTATGTAATTTTCTGAGGGCAATCAGTAGAGTCTTCCTAAGGAAACGTATCAGCACAGGCTCACAAGTACAGTGCTAATTCCTTCATATGATCTTTGAGATTCACTCTGTCTTAGCACACAGTAGTGCTTGAGTGGTTGTTTTTGTTCCACAGTTCCTTGTGGCCTGGATGTTCAACAAGTTCATGAGATAGACCATCAACCTGCCATTAGCTGATATTTGTTTTGAGATGGAGGATTTGAAAGCATGCAGGGGACCTGTGTGTTACTATCATTTGTGTTGTCTCCACTACACCTTTTCTCCTCTAGCTGGCAAAGGAAGGTAAAATCTGTAGATAAATTACATTGGGAATCACCTAGAGACGTCTACCTGTGACTTGAGAGGTAGAGTGAAGTATCAGCCAACCATACAGACTGTCCACACCCTAGCAGTGTATGTCATTCCCCCTGCAGTGGTTACTAGTCCTAAATTGGATCTTCTTTGTGATGTTCCCTATAACTCTGAGTTGATCAAATGCTTCCTTTGCCTCAGATGTGAATGAAGATACCATTTATCTTGAACATCTCTCCCATAAAATCTATGTGATCAGCATCCATCAGGTACAAAAATCATGGCAAATGTCCTTAAATGAATATTTTGGTTTGAAAGAATTGATTTAGAGAACTATGGGATTTTGAAATTATTGGTTTCAAGTTTGCACGCTGTCATCCTAAATCTTTGAGCCCTTTGAAAGTCATGTCAACAGCAATGTATTTTTTGATACATTGGCAAACAATTTGGTCTATTCTAAATGGAAAAAAATGAAAATAGGAAATAATGAAAAGAGTACCTACTTCATGTTTATTCAGCAGTATTCTACTATTGATACTGAGTACTTTGTATCAACATAATTCTTTGATGTTTTTGAAATCATATCTACTCTTTTTTTCTTTCAAGCTTGTCATGCAAAAAGTTTTGCTGGCTTTGAATGTGTTTTGGGCAGTTACTTTATGTTTCTCAGGTACTGAGAGCAATCTTAATTCCATTTAGTACTTTAAAATTTAGGCATAAGTAAAGGAATGCCTTTTACAGAACAATAATTTTGAATTTGGTAGGTGCTACAGTAAACCTGAATGCTTTTCCTTTTCCTCATAAGGTCAAATGGCTCCTTTGTGTAGCTGAAGTGAGATAATTGTTAAGTGCAGGCATTTGTGAGAGCAGATAGGGCAGTAGCAGGCAGGTGTGAGAAGCCATAAAGGTGGCTGGTTAGAAGAAGAAATGTCTGAGCAGAAGAATGTTCCTGCCAGCCTGGCATCTGTGAGTCTGGGTACCTGAAGCATTCTTGAAACGTGCAGCTGGACTCTTTGAAGCACAGCTGGGCACTGAGAAACAGGACAGCTCCTGAGACTGCATTGATCATCACAAAACCAAGAAAGTTTAACTTCATTTTATTGTCAGAAAAAGGGGAAACGGTCCAGGAAATTTAAATTAGTCTGAATAAAAAGAATAAACCTCTCAGGAACTTGATCTAGTTCAAGATGTCCCTGCTCACTGCAGGGTGGTTGGACTAGATGACCTTTAAAGGTCCCTTCCAAGCCAAACCGTTCTATGAGTCTATGATTCTATAATAAAGAGGGTTGCTTACAGGTATCCTTGTTGCTGTAGATTTGCATGTGATAGTTTTTTTTAATCACCTGTCACCATAATCTCAATTTCTGTACAAATACTTGTGAAAATAGCAACAAAACCTGAGAATTATTGAAATATATGAAGACTGAGGAGTGGTAAAGGTTAGCAGTGCAGAAGTTGCTTTCCTTGGACATGCCTTGGAACTAGCAGTTGGAAAGAGAGTCCTAGTCACTGTGAGAGCTGAGATACTACAGCACTTCTCTCCCTAGTCTGATTCATTCAGGCATATCTTTACTCCTCTACTAAATCTAACATTTTTAATACAAAATCATAAAATGAGATTCTAGTTACTCATGTAAAGTCTTAGTGGTGTGCCTTTAATTCTTATGGTAGTAGGAAATATCTACTCTTGGCTTAAGCTTGTTTATCTTCAGAAATATGTCAGCTTTGCCTCCAGAAGTGCAAAATTGAGTGTGCAAATACAGACAGAGTTTCTTATGGAGGTTTATTTCCCAAAGAGGTCTTTCTGTCACACTTACATCAAGAGAACAGGGATCAGATTGTGTAGGATAGGGAATATTTAAAACTGTCATTTTCACTGCAGTCTGCCTGTCTGTCCTGTCTTGTTTGCTTTCTTTTGTTGATAGTTGTTATTATTATTGTTGTTGTTGTTATTATTATTATTATTATTATTATTATTATTATTATTATTATTATTATTATTATTATTATTATTATTATTATTATTATTATTATTATTATTATTATTATTATTAATATTATTATTATTATTTTCACCACTTCCATAAACCTTTACTATAAAATGCTGCAGATAGAATTTCAAAATCATTGTGGGTGATGGACTTGAGCAGACTTGTTAACGTAAAAGAGGAGGCTCAACATCACCCCAAAATTTTACTAACACAGAACTATACCCACAGCTGTATAATCCCGCATTTTCTCTCATGCTTGTTTCTGGGGGATCTCTACATTTGACCATCTTCTCTTGCAAGAGCTGTCCATACTCTGGGCTGTACTTAGTGGGGAGGTGTTAAGATTGATAATTTGGATGTCTGTGTAAAAGAGCAAATGCAGAATATTAACAGTGATGTTCATACTGCAGAATATGAGGCACTGTGTGTGATGGCTGGCTTCATCAGTCATCCTGTTCAATGGGTGACTGACAATGTGTTATCTCTCCCCTGCAGTATGGTATAAAGAAGAAGGAAGAAAAGGAAGCAGAGGCCCAGGCCGCACTGGAAGCTAATGCTGAAGGGAGTCTGACACGCCCAAAGAAGGCGATCCCTCCTGGCTGTGGGGATGAGGAGGACGAGGAAGAAGAGAGCATTCTAGACACAGTCATCAAATACCTACCAGGGCCCCTGCAGGACATGTTCAAGAAGTAATATCTGCAGACTGTTGGATGGGCATAAACAGTACTGCAAAGGATTTTTCTTTTGCCCAATGGGGATTTACAATCTTGCCATCCATCATGCAGCCCTCTCCACCTCTGCCCTCTACTGCTCACTAGGAGTACTTTCGCTTCCCATTCCCTTCTGACTGCCTCTTTCCCTTCTCTCCACCCTAAGACTCATTCATTCCTTTTTTGTACATAGTCACATCCAGTAGATGCCTCTGAATGGATGTAAAGATTAAAAAGCTGCAGCCTACACAAATTTTATTATAAGCCATAGTACTATGTATGTTAAATAAGGCAACTGTACATTAAGCATAGAAAAGGAACAACCTCATGTGCATTTCCATTCTAACCAGGAAGGAGTGTTCACTAAGTGTGCACAGTGGCCTCTTTAATTTTCTTTAATTCTTTTTTTATTATTATTGATAATAATTATTAGTCATTATTATTTTTGTTGATTGGCTCACACTAGCCAATTGTTGCGAGCACATCTGCCCTTGGAAGGGATCTCAGTTCTCCCATGGAAGCAGAGCTTTTCTGTTTTAATTCCATCACTGGCATAAATAAGAGATCATTTGGAAGATAAATCATGTGGGACTTACACAGCTGACATCACTCAGAACTGTGGAAGGAGTGAGTCATCTTCCCTCAGATGCTGGTAGAAGTTAAATGCCTCAGAATCTAAGCAAGAGTCATGTTACTTTGGGAATTAGCCATACACTTACCTTGAAAGAGAAGATTTGGTCAGATAGTTGCCATACGAGAGCTGAAAGCACAGGAAGAGTGCATGATGGTCTGGTAGAGGACCTCCCCAACTCCTTTGAAGCCTATAACCAAGGCCATAGACCACTCTGATTAACTAACCGTCCTCTTTCTGCCCAGTGCCATATTCAACTGTCCCATTCCCAGCAGTGCTTGCAGGATGGATAATTGGTTTCCAGTATATTATTGTGGCTGTGTCCTGTCTACCCCTTCCTGCAGTGTATAGGAGAGTGTGGTTGTGTGAATGTTAGCCATAGCCCTGAAGATCCAGAAATTCTGAGTATGCCTGCTATGTATCATGCTAAATTACTGACAAGGACTGCATAAGGTCACTTATTTTTCTGCTCCACTCAGCTTCTCCAGCTGCAAAATTCAAGTGTCAGACTCTACCTACTGTATAGGCATAAAGTGAGGATGCTTATCCAGTGCTGTGCAGGAGTTAATTAGTATTATGACAGTGTGTGGCATTCCTTGATGTTGGTAGGCTGGAGGAAATCTCTCTCTCGCCATTGTCCTTGTTGCCTTTCCCAGACACAGATACAGAGGTCTTCTCAATACGGCACTGTAGGTACTAACTGTATAAGGTAAGCCAAATTCTACTGGAGATGTTGACTTGTTAGTCACAGACTCATATACATAGACAGACTGAACACAGATTCTCATGATCTGGTGTTTGGCTTGTCATCTGAAGAGCTGATCCTGGAGTTTTTTTATTTGGCTAGGTCTTTGTAGTTGCTGCTGCAAGACCATCGTGTCATCTAAGTCTCACAAACTTGCAAGAGAATCAGGGTTTATTTGGAAGAACTACTATTGCTTGTCCCTGTCATGGGAACAACAAGACTATCCCAAGTACATGGAAGAGATTCGGAAGCAAATATGTGCTTTCTACTGACAACAAAAAGGAAAGCAATCTCAGACACTTCATTATGTACATAAACTAAGCATTTTACGTAAATGGAACTTCTTTGATGCACTTGTTCAGCGAAACTGAGTTTAGGCAAATATTTCAGCACTTTCCTGAATAAGAAATTTTAAAAGATATTTATCGTCTTTTCAGGTAAGCAGAAGAAATCTGCACCATATTTAAGACAGTGAGCTTGCGAACTCTGTGCCTTTTAGCAGTATCTCTCACAATAAAGAAAAAATATTATGAAAGGGAAGAAATATATTTATTTTTGAATCCTCACTCAAATCTTATTCAGCTATGATAGTTCTCGCTTCTTCACAAATAACTTCAACCATAAGTTTCTACAAAATGCAAAGTGGCTGAGGAAGTTTGACTTATCTGCAAGTCAGAATCAGCTAATAAAAATGCAACTTATTTCAGGCTGGTTCTACAAACAAGACATGTTCATTTAAGTACAAGCAGCCAAGGGCTCCTCAGAGGAAAAAGAAGGCAGGTTTTACTCTTTCAGGTAATGTCAGTGGTTTTTGCCCTAACTTTCATTTAAAGCAAGATGAGTGTCTCCTGACTAATACTTTAATGACCCAGAGTGCTTTTTGTCTGTGAATCTATGCTATGCTTGGGTTTAGCATAGCAGTGTTGGGTAATTTACCATTTTCTAGGGAGAGTGTCCCACTCATGCCATACAAATTCAGCAGCTAGTAATTTGAGCCTACTTAAGTGAACTTCAAATAACCGAAAATTCTCCTTATGTCATAAAAGCAGCAGCTGTTTTTCATGCTCTGCAAAATTCAACTCCCCTGAAAGTTAAAAGTCAGAGGCTGGCTCTTTGCTTCAGCCACTCATTGCTAGCAAAATCTTCTAGCCCAGATCACACTGAAATACCAATATCAATAGTTTTGAAATGCTCTGACTTATCTCTGTGGCCTGTGTCCTCTAATACCTAAGTAGAACCAGCAGAAACATGCCCTTACTAAAAGAGACACATCCATTCGTATTTCCCCCTGGCCTTGTGCTGGAAAACTCTGCTAACAAAGAAACAAATAAAGAGAATGAACTCGTTCAGGTTTGCTTTGGCCTTTCTTTACCAGTTGCTTGTTGACCTTTCACTAACCCCCGTGATGGACACAATTCCTCATCCAGTCAAACACTGTTCCTGGCATAGAATCAGAATTTTTTGCCTCATGTCCTTCTTGCAGAACAGTACTGCCAATTGTTTATTTGTTTTCACAGTCTCTCTGACAGCTTGATGTGCATGTGTGTGCCCACATGTGTGGAAGATGAGGAAAAAGGAGAAGAAAGGGAGAGAAGACAGAAGGGAAGAATGTTTGGTATTATTTTTTCTAACTGTGCCTCAGCAGCTGTGCCACTGAATATCTGGTCTAAGTCAGGATCTTGTGTGGTCTGTGCTCAAATTTCATAAGCATTTAGTGCTATCCTTGGGCTTAGAGCATTAAAAAGACTCTTTTTGTGAGCTGAGCTCCTCCTGAGCTGTGTGAACATCTGGATCCAAACCCTGAAGAGGGCCATAAGTACTCTGTGCTCAGCTTTTAGGCCTCATGCCAGAGCTGCAGAGCAAGAGGGAAAGGGAAACATTAAATAATGTTTGCCAAGACTTTTTCATTGCGGGAGCTTCTCAGGCCAGCCATGCCATCACTTCTGTACCTCACCTCTCCAATCCCACGGCAGCTGTTCCCCCATGGACAGCAGAGAGTTCAGTCAGATGTGAGCTGGTAGCTCCCATTTTAATTTTCCTTTTCTTTCTATAAAGAAACATGACAGAAGATCTACCACAGGTACTGGACAGGTTTTACCTCACATAACTTTTGGCACCTCACCTAAGTTCTGGACCTCTCCTCAAATCATTCCACTATCCCCGAAGTGCCTAAGCCATGCTGAATAGATTTGAGAGCAGGCACTCTCCCCTACCTTCTGCCCATCCATTTCCCTTCCCACTCTGAACTGGCAACATGGGACACAGACATCTTTGGCTCATGTGTGGATGTGAGAAGTGATGTCTCAGACAATTTCCCCCTCAGCACTCAACAGGAGTTGAAGCACTTAAACAAGACCAAAGAGAAACATGGTTCATTGTTTGGATTCTGAATATCTCTTTGTCTTCCCATGCCTTTGTTTTATTTGCATCACTGCTCTGTTCAATCTCAGGTAAATGAGGTCTTTTTTTTTAACTAGTTTTTATTTACACAGAAATTTTGGTGGCTAGACACTGCAGCCATTTTCCTTCACAGTTCCAAGACCTTACTGGTTAGTAAAAGAAAAAGTCAAAGGGCCTCCATATTTGGAGGGTAGTGATTTAGTTTGCCATTGACCTTGTGAACTCACATTTATATTTAGAGAAAGCCATATGAAATCAGACTGCAATATGAAATATGAATGCTACTCTTGTGTTTAAAATAAATAAAGCAAACTATAAAATCATGTGCTATATTACTTTGGAGTTCCTCTGTCTATGTTTCGTACCATACATTGGCTTAGGTCCTTCCCAGCCCCTTTCCTTCATAAAGAAAGACCATATCAATGCTGCTGAATACATCTTTTTGGCAAGCTTACTGTGCTAGAATAAGCATTGTTAGAAACTAGCTGTTGTGACCTCAACGTAATGTCTTATGTATCTGAGAGTTGTCTGTATCTGTTCTGAATATATGTTATCAGGATAACCATTTCTTCAGGCACTGAATTAGTAAAATGTTTCAGTACTGTCATTAAAAAATTGCTTGTTTTCTCTCTTTCTCTCTCATACACACAGAGCAAAATTCAACTTAGCCATGCATTTTCTAGTAGAAATGTTCCCTGGCTTTATTTCAGATGCATGCAGTACTCTCTAAGCAACTAGAAGATGATTTAAAGTAGAGACTTCGTGAATGTGAATCTCATTTGTTATTTGCCTGCTACTTTTTCCTGCATGATGTGGGTAAATGGTATAATGTTCTTTTAAAATGGAATCACAGCCAATAAAAACCCCAGTGAGTTCATACATTTTTTGCAATGCTTTCCTGTGAAATTCCTGCCAGACTACAGTTGGAAATCAAAGTATGGATTCTGATATGCAAATAGAATGATAACAGAATCAAGGAGAAACATGGATATTATTTGAATGGTTGTGGGTTTTTTTTCACTTGTCAAAAACACTAATGAGTTTTGACATTGACAGATGATTATAAAATTTTAAATATGTTTTGCTATTAGGAATTTTGCAATGGAGACAAATTATTTGTTGGAACCAGCTTCAGCCTTCTCATTGAAAAGATACAGAAGGATAATTCCAGTGGTTAAGCTGGTGCAATCTGCATTTTCCCACTTTAAAAGTAAACTTTGTTGGGTAAAACATTATCCAGAGGAAAACAAGACAAAAAGAAATCAGTGGGCACATCATGAGTAGCTCTGGTGAAAAATCACTCCCATTACAGAGATGCATTACCAATCTACTTCTCAGACACTGGTCCTGGGATGCAATGATTATTGCAAGTTCTCAGCCTTCACTGACCACAGTGGAGACAGAGACTACATGCTTGAGGCAGATATTAAACTTCTAAATTAAAAGCTGTGTGCAGTGATACTCACCTTTGGCTGCCCTGAGTAAGTCAATTTTAATAGTTTTATTTATTTTTCTTCCTGAAGTACCATGGACAATCTAGGCCTCATAGAACTCTCTTTGAAAATAAATGGGACTTGAACGAAGGCTACTGGGCAATGCTGGCACAATGTGTATTGTGTGGCTGTCCTGTGTATTGGTATCCCAGGAGATTTGTGGCAAGCATCAATAGCCACAGTTAAAAAAAGATTTTTAATGTTCCCTCCCCAACTTTCCCTCCTCTCTTCAGGATAAGCAAGGTTACAACTGCATTTGGATATTCTGTGTTGAAGATAGCTCTGGTACAGCCTGTCTCTGGTGATTTTTCAGATAGTTTGAGAAAGGTGATGAATGCACAACTGAGAAAGATAAATGGCTGGAGCATGTAATGTCAAGCACCCATGCTTTCTTCAGCCCTCAGTATTTAGAGGAAAGCAGAATTCTGCTAGTGCTGTGGGATGGAAATGATTTTTTTCATCTGAGATTTGCTTTCCTACCAAACCTGTTTTTATACTAGAGGGTCAGATATAGCAGTGTATTTGGCAAGCTCAAGTTGCAGCAGCTGAGAGTGTTTTGAGTCAGAAAAAGACTTCTGTAAGCTTATGTGCTGAACATTTCAGCTGGACTATGAGAGGCTTAAATCACAGCAAGCAACAACTACCTGACTGAAAATGTAGTTCTGCTCTTTTTGATTTTTACTAAAAAAAAAATTTTAAAATTTACACAAAATGGAACATCATTCCGATTTGTCAGCTATTGACCAAAAGAAGAAGTCAAACCCCAGCAAAGGCTTGTGTGAGAAGGCAGAATGTCTACTGAAATGGAATCAAAGTATTAAGGTTTTACATTCTGTTTCGATTTGCACTTTATTGGTGCTGAAAATGCCAAAGTATAAGTATGTGTACAATCACTTCAAAATTGGTTATGTAAGCCATCATCCTGAAGCCCACATATAATTGAGATGGGATTCTTTGCTATTGCAGTTTCATAGCCTGAGAAGCTGTGAATTTTTTGCATATGTGAACCCAATAACTAGCAGCTGGCTTTTAAACTGTTGAAAACGATACACCTTTGCAGGTTTCCCTATCTTATGAACAACTGAACAGATGCTCATAAGATATTCACCCCTCAGTGGCAAGGAATCCTCTTTTTGGGGAAGTCTGAGATGGCAAATGTCAGACTGAATGTGAACATTTTAGGGTGAATGCATTTACAAATGAGTAGATTAATAGAGTTAGAATCTCTGAAAAAAATATCTTGGTGCTGAAACTCATATTGGGGAAAAAACTCACAACTGTTATTTCTTGCTAAGTAACATTTTAATAAATTCTAGCACATTTATTGCCAACTGTTAGCAGACAATCAAATTGTCAGATTGAAAGCCCTTCTTATTTAGATGATTAATAAAAGAATTGGGTTTCACAGTACTAAATGGGGATGAGATGCAAGACGTGTGGAATGTTTTTCCACATAGAATTACAGTATAGCATTAGGAAGCTCTTAATGTTCTCTTGTTTTTACCTAAAAAAAAGATCCTTCATCCTCTGTGGGTCAGCAGCTATTTTTAGTGTGGGTATGAGTCAAACTATCTTAATCGTCTATGACCAAGAAATGGAAAATAAAATATCCACTACACAGTTAAAAACATGGGCTGGCAGATGGCCATTGCTCACTGTTTTTGTAGGTCAGCTCAACACATCTCTGCACTACATTCAGGGGGAGAAAAATGAGAATAGAACATTTTAGTGGAAATTTCCTAGGCAGTCTGCACAAGTTCTCCTATTCTCTGAGGTTGTAAGGGATAGCCCAGCAGGAACACTACAGTCATGAACAAGAATAGGCTGTGGAGAACCATCCCCATGTAAAGCACAAGAGAGAACACTGCCCAGTTATTAAAGTATATCTCACCTGCCTGAGAAGAAACTGGAGCTACAGAGCTTCTCGTTTTCCCCCACTAGTGAAGTGAGGATTATGAGACTGAGCCCTCTTTGAGATGCCCCAGTGAGAAGCACTGTCCTTTACATGGCAGCCTTGTCTGAGGACTCAGATGTCAACAATATCCAATGAATGTATGTCAGAAAGACTCCTGGGAATGATGAGATGAAACGAATTTAAAAGATGTGACTTACCAAATGTTACTGTAAGCTATGACACCAACCAAAATTAGTTAGAGCAGTGTAAGTGACAGATATTTAAATGTATTTATTTTTCAGTTGGAAATTTATTTACCTGTTGTAAAATCCACTTCATACTTATATAAATGGAGCACACAGAATGCCCCCTTAAACAGCTAACTGTGTTTCATAAGCAGCTTAGCAAAGAATCACAGAATCACAGAATTATCTAGGCTGGAAGAGACCCTCAGGATCATCGAGTCCAGCCATCCACCGTACTCTAAAGTACTCCCCTGCACCATATCCCCCAACACCACATCTAAATGGTTCTTAAACACAGCCAGGGATGGTGACTCTGGAGGAGAGATATAGTCAGTTCACTACATAAAACTTACCCGCTGTTGACTTTTTTTTCCTCTGCAGGAACCGATCTAAGCCTCTATAAAGCTGACCATAGAGCAGCATTCACTTAATGTTATTGTTTGTTTCTCAGAAACTGCAAATGTTTTCTACTAAAAAACATGCCTTTCTACCCTCATTTCCTCTTTCAAACACTGAGACAAGACAGTCCTGCCTCACTCAATGCATTCAGCTGCTGTTGCATGGTTGTTAAATTAACCATTAGTAGAAATGAAACATCAAACTTCTCACCACAAGCTTTTATTCCAAGTTAGGAAGTTCTCTGAAATAAAAGTATTTACTCTAGTATTTTACTCACTTGATTATCATAGTCTCCGCAGACCAAAGGTCCTCCAGGAAAAGCAATGAAGACACAATTCTTGGCTTGTTTAAAAAAGAAACACAAAACCCCCAGATAGATAAGGAATAAAACTCCTTTAGACTTTTACATATTAATAAGTAATGTTAGGAATTAGTGAAACACAAAGATTTTGAAGTCCTCTTCCTACCTGTCTCCCACTAGTAGCTCTGAGAGAGGGCTCAGGAGAGGTTGTAATCAGCATGGAAAGCAATGCTTAGGGCTGAACAAATGCAGAGTTCATTGTGAGTGCTTCCCACAGTCCCGTGGGACTTGCAAATCCCTGGCTTGGTACAAAGAGAGTACCCAGATTTTATGACTAACATAAAAACAAAAGACGTGAGAAAGGGCACAAACACACACTAATAGTGGTGTGGCACATGTTGTGTCAAGGAATGGCTGCACAGAAAGCCTGAGGGACTCTTGAGGTATTCTCAAGAGGTAATGTTGGGGTCTTTTCTTTCTACAGTTTGTGAATTTCAAGTTTACAAGTTGGAACATAAGAGGTTCCACTCAAATATGAGAAAAAACTTCTTCACAGTAAGGGTGACAGAACCCTGGAACAGGCTGCCCAGGGAGGTTGTGGAGTCCCCTTCTTTGGAGATTTTCAAGACCCGCCTGGATGCAGTCCTGAGTAACATGCTCTAGCTCTAGGCAATCCTGCTTCAGCAGGGGAGTTGGACTAGATGATCTCTATGGTCCCTTCCAACTCTAAAAATTCAGTGAAATTCAGTGAAATTAAATTGTCTGTACAATCACTCTTGACAGTGCTCTAGTTTGCTGAGCAATGAAGGACTTGCAATCACCAGGGGGAATATTTCATAAGTTTGGGAAGCTGAGGGTGTAACTGTGCGCATATTGGAAGTGCTGAGCAGAGCTGAAGCATTATGTGTTCATTTTTGTGTGAACTAAACTCTACAAGAAAAAACATTTGCCTTCCTTGCCCAGCACAGACGGCCCATTCCTAGCTCAGCCTAGTGATCACAAAGTAATACACACCCTTCTCTAAAGCAGAGGCCCTTGATCCCACATATTCTCCTTTTCAAACCTCTCTGCTTTTTACCTAGAAACTGAAAGGATGAGACATTTCCAGTGAAAAATTTTTGAGCAGCTCCACTCTTGCATTAAATGTCTCATATCTCCATTGCCTCGTTTGCAGGGTTCATCCCTTCTGTCCCTCTCTGTTGACATAGAGCTGGAACCCCTACACTCACAGTGGCCAGTTCGGATTTATAGCTTCTTTGTGCTCTTGTCCTCTATACCAGCCATTTCAGGCATGTTGAGAGGTTTTTCTCAGGCAGCAAAAAATCTGGTGAGGAAAAAGTTTCAGGAAGTGGACCAGACAGCTGTGCTTGGCCTTCATTGGCAGCTTTGGAAGTTGATGTCTGAATTTGTTCTGGGAGATGGAACCAGAAACTGGAACCAGCAGGTTCCCAAAATATCACAGGAACACAGAAGGTCAGAAACAGTATGCAGAACTTTCATACTTTGCTTCCTTCCTCTGTACCTTCTTCCCTCCCACTGCTCTGCATCT